GAAGATGGAACGGATCGAGCGTTCCATCAACGCCGATCCCCTTGCGGAGCATGCGAGGAAATTCCTCCGCTCCGGACGGAAGAGGCTCCGCGCTGAAAAGCGCAGGCAGGCAGAGCTCTCTCAAGACTCTGCCCGAGCCTGGTGGAGCCAACCTTCCTCCGGGCGCGGTGCACCCAGTGGGGGCCGCAGCTCTGGCAGCAAGGGTGGTGGCAAAGGTGGTGGAAGGGGAAGCTCGAACCGCTACGGCAACCGAGGATGGTGGGCCGGAGGTGCTGCCGGACTGGCATACTCCTCCCGACTCGGCGAGCGTGCTGGGCAGCCCGCCCTCACGCTCCCACTGCGTGGCCCGGGTGGCCACAGAGTGGCGCCCGAGGCCCCTGCCGTTTCTTCTCGCCCCGCTGTCTCTTCCGGGCCCTCGAACCGTGGTGGGTTCCTTGGGGCCGTGCGCTCGATAGGCGCTGCGGTCTCCAGCTGGGCTCTCTCCAGGAGAGCGCGCAATCGCGCAGCCCACGCCACAACGGGCAACATTGGATGGAAGATGGGTTTGGTGGCCGCTGCGCTGGCGCCTACCCTCTTCACTGTTGAGCGCGGTGCCAGAGAGGTGGCACACGTGAGCCTCACTGCAGTTGCCACTGCGGCGGAGGACCTCATCGAGGAATCCTCTGGTATCCTCGTTCGGGGTGTCCGCGTGGTTGGCTTGACGGCCGTCGTCCTACTGTGGACGTTCGCGGCCGTAGTGCTGTGGTGGGCCGGACGTGTCGCCACTAACCGGCTAATGCACGCCATGAACGGTAACCCCTTTGGGAATGCTGTTCTGGTGTCGCTCGAAGGCCGGGAGGCTGTCTTTGAGGTTGCATCAAAGACTAAGGCCGGAGCACACAGGGTTCTTGTGAAGGTCGGGTCGGGCGCGGACGGCGCAGGCTGCGACTGCAAGGCATTCCTCAACGAGGGACGTTGTGGTCACATAGAACGCGCTGTTGAAGCTGCGGGGCAACTCGTGGCCATGACAGGCGCGAGCGCTGCCCCAACGCTGTCCGTCGCCCCGGCCGCGACTAGACGCGCCCGTGCGATCCTCGGCGCGCCGGCCCTGGAACAGGGGTGCCTTGCCGGCATGGTGTCGAAAGCGAGATCGCTCTCTGAAAGAGCTCGGAATGTCGGGAACCCGTCCGAGGGTTGCCTTGACGGCTTTACCAAGCTCAGAGGCCGCCACGAGGTGGCCACAGTGTCGGCGCCTCCGACAGAGACTGTTCCGAAGACGCCTGCAGCGGAGGCTTCCCGCCAGGGTACCTCTGCGGCGTCTCCGGCTCCGACAGCTCCCATGTCGAGCCAGGCACGGCGTGTCAGAGACTTCCCGATCCCTGACGGCTTCGAGCGAGCCGGGGTCAAGTTTCTGACCCTTCCGGAGTATCACGCTGTGGTACAAACGATGCTATCGGACGCTGGGCATGGGGACCACGTTTACGTGCGAGCCTACAGCTTCGATAGCAAGCCTTTGGTTGGAGCCCTCGTGTCCTCGCTGGAGCGAGGCGCCCGAGCCCACGTGCTTGCCGACAACTCGCAGACGAGCCGGACCAAGCTCCAGCTGCAGTCCCTCAAGGAGCTAGGGGCGGCTGGCGTCCAGGTCCGTGTCGGCAAGGGCACCTCGGTCAAGGCGGCTTACGCCGCCGAGAACCGCACGGACGTGAGCATCGGCGCAGGCCTCGCGGGCATCCACCACGCCAAGACGGTGCTCGTGACGAGGCCGGACTCCACAGTTAGCGCCGTGATAGGAAGCCTAAACTTTAGTGCTAGTTCACGGGCCAACGCGGAGGTCGGCATCGCGGTCGCCAGTGTGCTGACCTCTGAATTTAGCCAAAAGTGGCTAGATTCGTTTGGCACCGAGTGGTCCAAGGCGCTGAAGCTCGAGGAGTTCGAAGCACCTCAGCGGAACCACCGCGGGCGGGCAAAACCCTCAAATGTCCAGCAGCCCGCCGCGCAACCCAACGTGGAGCCGCAGTGACCGTGGACTAGAAGTCGCGGACTGCGCTCCGCCCTTCTAGCCACCTGTGGCAACTTCAGTTTTGGTCGCAGCACCTAGCTGCTTTCCGATGAGACGACAGGGTGGCGTATCCGCTCTACAGGTCTTTGACGGGAGCGGCTAGGGAGGCACGGTAGTGCTCCCGAAGCGCGTGGAGTAACGCCGCAGCTTCAGCTGCTCGTTTCACCAGCCCTGTGGCCGCAGTGCGGCGCAGGCTGTGTACAGTAGGAAACCAGAGCCTCGTGCAGCACAGGCCGTGAAAAACGAAGGTATTGTGCTGAGTGCGAAGGGTTTGTAGGAGGGCAGGGTCTGTAGGTCAGTTTTACGGCCTCCGGCCGCCCGCGGAATCCTACGGCTCTATCGTGCTCTCGGCTGAGGGGCGAATGTAACTGCACATAGTCTGCGGGCTGGCTGTTGTGCTGTATGCTTTTATGCATGCTCTTCTGTAATTCGTATTCATAACATTTTTGGCTCAAGTGAGCACGGCAGTGTGTCGTTGGTAGCTCCTCGTTGCCGCGACGCAATTGCGCGCAGCCCGTCCTGGGCGGACGTTCGACCTGTCACGGTCGTTGGACTTTCTGCTTGGACGGAAAACGAGGGTGCGTGCTGCCCCTTTGGGTTTCCGTTCTCCACATACTGCTACTGCTACTGCTACTACTACTACTACTACTACTGCTACTGCTACTGCTACTACTACTACTACTACTACTACTACTACTACTACTACTACTACTACTACTACTACTACTACTACTACTACTACTACTACTACTACTCCTGCTGCTGCTGCTGCTGCTGCTGCTGCTGCTGCTGCTGCTGCTCCTATCGCCACTGCTGCTTTTGCTGCTAGTGCTTTCGCGAGACGACGACAAGTGCAACGACGACGACTAGTATTACTTTTGCTGTTGCCACGCCACTGTGGCAAATTCCTGAGTGCAGTTTACGATAAGGTACCCCCCCCAAGACCCTATTCAAACTAGTAAGGCCCCTATAATATCCAATTACCCATAATGTTACTACTATCCTTATCATTGTCTTATGATTGATACCGTTATTGTTTTTAGTATGGTTTTCAGGAGTTTTGTATTATGATTATTGCTGTTATTCTCGTTTGCATCACATCATCCTTTTAATCTTTTGCGTGAGACTTTGGAGGATGTGGCCCGAATTCCCGAATCCTAGACCTGAGTGTCGCGAGTTCTGAGTCCGTTCCTTCCGGTCTTGACTTGGAACTCCAAAGCGGCTTAGGGTTCGGGGTTTCGGGGCGTTTTCGGGTTTCTGAGTAGGAGCTTCGGCGTCGTGGATGATGCTCTGAAGCTGATCACAAGCACTCCCGAAAACACCTCGAAGCCCCGAGCACCGACGAACGTTCAGCCCCGTTCCGAACACGAAGATCCTCCATGCGTATGTCCAGCATTCCATGCGACCTTCTTTACCCGGGCTTACCCGTCTTCTGTTCAGTAGTGCCTAGGATCTGGACCCGCGCCCATCGTCTTATAGTATGTAGCAGAGAGTTCTCGCAAGCTTCAAGCTCGCACCCGCCCTCCGCGCCGAGGCGATTTTCTTTAACTCCGACATGTTTAGCGACTTTTTTTTCTTTACGTTTTTTCGGCCCGTGGCTGAGACTCTCGTTGCTCTGACTTCTCGGTTTGGGAGCTGACGGGTTGTGTGTTTCGGTCGCGCGGCCCTTTGTTTTCACTTTGAGCTTCAAGGCTTCGAATAGGGTTTGAATGGCGGTTGGAGGGGCTAGACCCTACACCCTAAATCCCCAAGCCTACGTGCCTAAATCCCTAATCCCTAAATCCCTAAATCCATAAATCCCCAGTCCCGAAACCCTAAATCACCTTAAACCCTAAATTCCTAATCCTTAAACTCTAATCCTTAAACCCTTAATCCCTCAATCCCTAATCCCTATAAACCCTTAATCACCTTAAGCCCTTGCTCCTTAAATCCAAACAATGACTCCCTAAACCCTGGGCTTAGAGATCCGGGTTTCCTCCGCGGCTCGGCCTTGAGAGTCCCAGAGCCTCAAAGCCTGACTTCTTCGAAGGTGAAAGAAAGGTTTGGGGGGTCTAGGGTTTGGGGTTTGGGGTTTAGGGTTTCCCCCAAACGCCGCCAGAGCCCTTGAGATCCAAAACCACGAAATCCACAAGAACCTCATCACGCTTCGGGTTTGGGGTCCAGGGTTTAGAGTTCAGGGGTTTAAGGCAAGCCTCTAAACCTGCCACGAAAACCCTTTAGAAGCCTTATGCACCCCATAGGGAACCCTGTTTAGGTTTTAGGGTTTAGGGGCTTAGGGGTTAGGGGTTTAAGGTTTAGGGGTTTAGGGTTTAGGGGTTTAGGGTTTAGGGGTTTAGGGTTTAGGGGTGGGGGTGGTGGGTGGGGGTTTCAAAACGGTTTAGGGTTTAGAGGCCAGGAAGAGGGGTCTGCAGGGATTTAGGCTAAGGGAGTAGATAGTGGGGGCATGATAACAAAATGAGCTAGGGTTTATCGGTTTAGGGTCAAGAATCCTTAATATTGGTGCAGAATCTTGTAATGTTGGTAGAGAGCCTTAGTATCCTGAATGACTAAACAGGGAGACCAATGCCGGTTTTGCCAGTCATGCCAGCCTCAAGATCGTTGGAGTCGTTCTTATGTATGCATCCATGCATGCATGCCAGCCCTTCCATGACTCACCGTGTATACATACCCGACATACATTCGTACATACATACGCACACACAGCAACTAGGTTAATAATGCAAGTCTTTAAAACTTCACTGTCAAATGGTGTAGCAGTCGGCACAACAGCACTCATGGCGCTCGTAAGGCATGACTGACACTTGAGTCCCCCGCGAACTTGAATGCCCCATAGCCTCCAACTCGACCCCGACAAATTGAAATCCCTTGGGCCGTGCATGCCAAAACGACCCAACACCGAAAGAAACCAAAAGTTTAAGACATCTGATCGACACGAGGTCATTTTGAGGGCACTTGAAGGGGCATGGCACTGCCCGAGACGCACTACGAGGCTAGTTGGGTGTGAGGATATGCAATTTGGGAATGGGCGCGCGGTATGCAGTTCGGGTTATCGCTGATCAACCCCCAAACCTTAAACCCAAAGTCCTAGCACCCGAAAGTCCCAAACCGACTCCCTTGTTCTGCTGGAGGCTCTCCCGAATGCTAGTAGGCAGCTTTTGTTCGCCCTGAGACCTGAGATCACACGGAGGGTGTGCTTTACGAGGGGTTTGAGATTGGCTTGTTCGGGTGTTCCGTTGTGGGGTGTGCAGGGCTTGAATAATCCAAAGCTCGGCGGATCAGTCGTGAATCGAAATACCATTGCGCGAGGAGCTATGCGCAATAGTTGCATACATGAAGATGCCCGAGCCCCTGTGCCCAACACCCCCCCAAAACCGAAGCCCCAAACTCCAAAACCTAAAACCCGACACCCTTCGTCATGCTCGGAGCATGTCCCTGGAGCACCCTAAGCCCAACCAAATCTTGAATCGCCGAAACCCAAAGCTCTGAACCCTAAGCTGACAAAGCCTTAACCTTAGCACTGCCGAAGCTCTCATCCCAGCATGAATGAACCAATACTGTTCCTTGGCATTCCTGATGAAAATTCGTAGAATGCTACTATGCCCCCCAAAATCCTATCAAACCCACTAAGGGCCCCACATAGCGCTCAGTGGCAGCATTACCCCATAAACCCTAAAACCCGCTAACCGGGTGGCTCGGAGGTTCTGGGTACCGACCCGCAAGCCTCTTTATGCGAGCTAAGAGCCGCCTTTGGCCTCAGAACGGTTTGTAGGGTTTGGGGTTTAGGGGTTTTGGGTTTATAGGGTTTATAGGGTCTATAGGGTTTATAGGGTTTATAGGGCGTATAGGGTTTATAGGGTTTGGGGGTTTTGGGTTTAGGGTTTAGGGGAGTTTAGGATATATGGGGTTCGAGGTGAGGGTTTAGGGCGGTTTAGGGTTTAAGGCTTTGGCCTTACGGTTCAGGGTTTAAGCTTAAGGCTTTGGGCTTAGGACTTAGGGCTTAAGGGGTTGGTGTGGGGTTGCACGCGGAGGTTCATGGGTCGCCACGCGGGTTCAGGGTTTCGGAGGTTTAGGGGGTTTTAGGGTTTAGGGTCTACTTGGAGGTTCATGGGCAGTTATAAGAGTGGGTTTTGTTTTCGTCCCCTAATGTGGGTTATGATTCTACTTACCTTACTTATAGCCCCACTCACAATTACCCCGAAGCCTCCAAGTGTAGCGGTTTCACAGAGTGTTATGCGTTTTCGGAGGTCTTGTGCAGGCGAGTTTCCAGAGGTTTTATTTTGATGGAGACTTCAGCAACTTACGACTTCCTGGACCGGAGGTTTTGGGTTTCAGGGCCTCGGGATTTGAGGATTGTAGGCTCACGGTTGCATACTCTTTACATGAGAGGGTTTCTGCTTGGGGAGTTCCGTATGGCCATAGTGCGGTTCTCTAGCTTCAGAACCTAACTCTTTGGAGCCTTAAATTCCGAACCCCAAGCCCGACGTACCACAGGAAACATGTGGGCCGCCCGTTTGGGAGCTACTTTGAGGTCAGGGTTCCGCTGATTGTAAACCCCGGAGCCCTAAACCCAAGCCCAACGAAGAGCCGAGGCATTCAAACGAAGAGCCCTCGCTTTGCATCCTGACAAGGGAGGATCGAAAGAGGCTGGACGAGGGTCGAGTGTGCAGGGGTTTGGGTTTCTACATGAGGGTAAATAAGCGTTGCTACGGTCTATGAGTTTTGAAGGCAATATGGGTTCAGTTGGGTTGCAATAGAACCGGGTGCCGCGGTTTGAGGTTTAGGGTTTCTGGGGTTTGAGGTTTAGTGTTTTAGGGGTTTTGAGGTTTAGGGTTTTGAGGTTTAGGGTTTTGAGGTTTAGGGTTTCAGGGGTTTGAGGTTTGGGGATTTGAGGTTAAGGGTTTTAGCTTTGGGCTTCAGGTCAAGGGATACTGCTCTGTGACATGGGATGGGTTCGAAGGCTGCTTTCAAGTCCCATTCCCTTCCCACCTTTTCCCTTCAAATGCAAGGTCCGGATTTCCACAGAAACCCCAAACACCAAAAAACACCCTAAAACCTTAAACCCAAACCTTAAAAAGAACCCTGAACCCCTAAACCCTAAACCTTAAAATTAACCTTAAAACTCTAAACCCTCATGATTTCTGCCTGCGACATCAGGCCCCAGATCGAACCCCGAAAGCCCCAAACTTTCAAACCGAAGCCCTGAAGGGGTTTGAGGTTCAGGGTTTTAGGGGTTTTGAGGTTTAGGGTTTTAGGGGTTCTGAGGTTTAGGGTTTTGAGGTACAGGGTTTCAGGGGTTTGAGGTTTTGGGGGTTTGGCTAAACTCTACCTGGACGACCCCAAGAAACCGACATGACTAGGGTTCCTGATTGTGATATCCTTAGGGTTTAGGGTTTAGGGTTTAGGGTTTAGTGTTTAGGGTTTAGGGTTTAGGGGTCCCTAAAAACGTAGGCTACTTGGGGTTAAGGTAAACCTTGAATCCTAAGCGCAAAGCGAAATCCTAAGCCACCCCAAAGCCACGCGAAAAAGTCTCAAAGTCTAAGCTGGCAGGGCTTCCAACGAGCGCTCCATGCGTTCGAGGTCCGAAGCGTAGTTTTCGGATTCCACTTCAACGGGCCCGTTTAGGTTTGAGTTAGGTTTGGGGTTGTTAGGGGTATCAGGAACTAGGCTTAGAGCGGGTAAAGGTCAGTGCTGAGGAGCTTGAGGGACGTAGGTTTACGATCTCGGATGCTGGATGTGTTGCGCTTCAGTTTCCGAGTTGGCGGAAGCTTGAGTTTGGGAGGCGTGTGTTGGGAGTTCGACCCCTCTGCGCAAACTTGCTTCTGTTGTTTCGGTGGCCTGAGGGCGCAGGAGCATGTTGTACGTGAGTCAGATGGAGCATTGTACCGACACTTGGAGGATCATGGGACATAGTAAGTAGGTTATAGTTAGGGTTATAAGTCCCCTAAGTGGGGTTATCCTAATGATAACCTACTTATAAACTTACTTACCAAGTCCCATGATCCTCCAAGCAGAAGACGCGAGTCCTCACAGAATCTCAAAACCCTAGACCCTGAACCCTTTAGCTTCGGCGAGTCTCAGGTCAGTGATCTGCTGCTGTTGTGTCCAGGTGGTGCACCTTCTTTGTGGTAAGAGCCCTTAAGGCGACCTCAGTAGCTCAGTGCCGCATGCAAAGCACAACGGAATCCACGGATGTCAGGTGCTGTCTGACGATGTCAGCCGGGCACAGTATGACACAGACCTCCGCCGACGCCGGGCCGCTTTCCTGGCAAGGGAAGTTTGGAAATGTCGCTTCCTTGTCCTCGTGAGTGTCAGGTTGTACTTTCGGGGCCTGAATAATTAACAATACTACTTTGGGGGTTCCTTATCATATTTAGGGTATACGTAATGTCCCCCAAGCCTTATTCTTATGGTTAGGGCCTGTGCATTACCCGAAGCATGTTTCAGCAGCTCTTGTGGCAATGCGCCTGGGTCTGGAGCATGCCAGCTGAGCAGAAAAGCTATGGGGGTGTGGTTTAGGGTTTTGGGTTTTGGGTTTAGGGTTGAGGCCCTCAGTGAAACCCGAAACTCCCTAAATTGACTAAATTCCCGAAGCTCTAAACCAGAAGCCTTGGACCGAGGCTGCCAAGAGGGGTTTTGCGTCCCGAAAGAAGGAGGCCGGGGATTCTCGGCGAGTTTCATTTCCCTAAACCCCTAAACTAAACCCTAAACCCTAAGCCCCTAAACCCCTAAACCCTAAACAGGGTTCCCTATGGGGTGCATGAGGCTTCTAGAGGGTTTTCGTGGTAGGTTTAGAGGCTTGCCTTAAACCCGTGAACTCGAAACCCTGGACCCCAAACCGGAGGCGTGATGAGGTTCTTGTGGATTTCGTGGCTTTGGATCTCAAGGGCTCTGGCGGCGTTTGGGGGGTGCAGTTTTAGGTCTTGGGGGTTTAGTTGGGGCTTCACGGATTTTACGGGTTTAGCCTTTAGGCGTTTAACGGTTTAGGGTTTCGGGGTTGTATGGGTTTTGGGGTTTAGGGTTTCGGCTTTACGGGTTTTTATTTTCAAGTCCTCCCCCGCCATCCTGTCCGGCGGAACCTTAAATCCCTAAATCATAAATCCTAAACCCGAGACCCCAAACGCCAAGCCTTAAAAACAAAACCAGACTCTAAATAACCCGAACCCTGCAACCTAAAAGCAAAACTTAAAAACCCAAACCCTAAACACTAAACACGAAAACCTGAAACACCCCGAAACCCTACACCCTAAAAGCTAAACTTTGAAAACCCCAAACCCTAAACCCACAAAAACAAAACCTCAAACACACCAATCCCTAAACCCTAAAGCAAATCTGAAAAAGCCCAAACCCTAAGGACTATAACCAAAACCTTAAAGACCCAAAACCCTAAGGCCCAAAACCTGAAGACCGTGGCCTCAGGCTCCTAAGGTTGAGGCCACGGGAGGATGGAGGGTTTAGGGCGGTCTGTGAGAACCGCTGTTTCGTGGGGGAGGACGTAGGCTGCTGGTGGATGCTGTTGCGAAGCGCAGTAGCCGTCATGCGTGAGTGTGGAGACATGGTGCTGCTGGTGCGGACCTGACTTGTGTCGCTTGTTCCCGTCACCATCCCTCACCCAGGCATCTTTCGTGGTGGAGCCGCTGCAAAACACCGCACGCTTGCCTCCGGGCCTATTGGAGCCCTGCCGAGCGGCCGTGCCGTCGCTGCCTGCAGTTGAATCCAGCGGTCCCAGCGGTGCTTGACCCTGGGATCTTTTGCGGGATGATGAAGCTTTGGAACAGGGCATGCAGAAAGCCCAGGCAGATTTACTGCATGTTTGGTAGGTTCGACATCTCTCTGCCGCCGGGGTGTTTTTCCACGTCGAGCCGAGCACGGCCGCAAGACGTCATCGGACAGCCCAGCCCTGCTCAAGCAATGGGCCTCCCCCCCTCGCTCTCTAACTTTGTGTTGCTCCTGCGAGTTTGTTTCCGTGGTGCCGATGCGCTGAGGCCGGCATGTGCGCTCGCGGCTGCGACGGCAGCCCTGCCAAGAGAACCGAGACTTGCACAAGTCATCCTACCTCTGTCGTTGCTCGCTCGCGCTGCTGGTGCTAGGCTCGGAATTGGAAATGGAAGGAGACGGTGACGGCGCTGCGGTTTTCGTGCGATCGCTCGCTGGCTGGGGCTCAGCTGTGCCCGAGTGATGCAGGCGTTGTCCACGTTCATGTTGGCACATCCCAGTAGTTGCTTTGATGACCAGGATGTCATTTCCATGATGATTGCGTCCAATGAAGCGAATCCTTGTCTTGCAGTTCGCGCTTTCGCTATGGTCTTGCGTGCTCTGTAGCACTATGCTAAGGAATAGGCTGTAGGGCTTCAGCTAAGGATCCGCTGGCCGTACGACCCGGGTTTCTACTAATCTGTGGTCTGTGGCATCGTCTGCTTTCACACGCCATAAGGTGGTCACTGAAGAGTTCTACCGAGAGGCGGAATGGCTGAAAGAGCTGTTTCTGCGGTTTCTCGTTGGTCCATGCCCATACCTGTGCTTTGGCACGTGCGTTTAGTGTCAGCTTACTTGCCTGACACCTCACCCGATATGCTTGTTCCCAAGGTGGACATTGTGGTCGGCTGCGAGCCGCTCAAGGCATTCTCAGGGCAACATTAATTCAGCTTATCGCAGCTAGGTTTCACTCACTGCGATTGAAACCCGACAAATTCATGGCTAGTCAAGACGGCTCGATCTTCATCATCCATATCGGAACGGCTACAAGGGGTTCATGCCTACACCGGATCCGGTGTTCAGGTCATTTGTGTGGCCACCCTTTTTCGCCTGCCAATCGAGAAAGTCGATTATCGTGCAAGATGTTATCATTCCGTTTCTGTTGCAGACGCAAATGCCTGCCGGCCGGTGCCTTGCTATCATCTTGATGTTTCGATGGATGTCAGAAGAAACGGCGTGGTTGGATGTGCTGCGGCCAGCTATCACGCATGCCCTTTCCCAGGCGGGGAAAATTTCTGGAACGAGTTCTTGGGACACATGGAGGCAGAGCTGTCGGAATATCCGTTTCCAGGCTCCAGGGCGGTTCTTTTCGACAAGGGAAGCAAGAAAACCATGCCACAGTTCCGGTGAGACTTCGAACACGCCCGTACAAACCATGCAAGATCGAGGCTGCCGGTGCGTTCACTTGGGCTTGCCACAGTGCCTGCGCGATGAAAAACAACTCCCACATTTGCCAAATTCCGCATGCATGGTGTTCTGCCCTTCATGCTCGCAATTGGGGGCTGAAAGCGCCATCGACGACCGGTCTTGAAAGGGCCAGGGGGGGTTGAGCAGGTTTGTGGCCGGGAATGTTGGCTGGAGACATTGCGCCAATGATTTGCCAAAACTTACAGACCTCCCGAGGACTTCGTTTCACTGCCTGGGATGTGCATTCTTTGCGAAAAAAGGTTTTGGATGTGTTGGAAGCCTGAGGCCCACTGAAACTTATGAAAGCCTGGATCAAGGCTTATTATGCGCGTGTATCAAGCGGATTGAGCATTTATTTCTCGTAAACGGAGAAGAAAGCCTGAAAATCCCTTCGGAAAGAAGGGCTGGCTGGGCTGGCTGAGGAGGGGACAGATGAAAACTTAAAGCTTTGTTGTGTGATGGCTTCATTACAGTCATAAGAAGCTTGTATGAAAGCCTTTATTAATTAAGCCGTTGCTAGGCTTTGCGATCAAGCCTTATTGAAGCCACAACTCCATTCTAAGCATGTTAGGATTTAAGCTTTAAGGGTTTTAGGGTTTCGGGTTTCAATTGGTTTTCCGGGGTTTGAACCTAAACACTCTTCCCGAGCAACCTTAAATATTTGAGCCTTGAAGTCAAATCTTAAAACCTCCCAAACCCTTGAACCCTTGAACCGTGCTTTACAGCTTGAAAAAGCTTAAGCCCTGAAGCGCCTCAATCCCGAAATTCTTTCGCCCTTTATCATAACCATCAAGGGAACCCCATTATAAAGCCCTACATAGAACTTTATTGTGGAACCGTTACAGGATCTCGATTGTGGAACCCTTAAAACATTATCTTCTGAGGGAACCTTGAGCCCTGAAGGGCCCTAAACTTTACCCCCCGGCCCTGGACCCTAAACGCTGAACGCTAAACCCCGAAGGCACCTCGCAAGAAAGCTGGGCTGGCGAGCCTCGGGCTCGGAGCATCTTCAGAGAGGGCTTTATAGGTTCAGGGATTGGGGTTAAGGGTTTAATTTAAACCTGCAGACTGAGATGATTCAGGCCTCTATATTAAGATTTTGGGGTACAGGTTTTCCGGTTTTCCGGCTCTCGAAGGTCGGTGTTAGGGCTTCGGGATTTAAGATTTAAGGTTCTCAGATTCTTCGGGCTCTAGGATTCAAGCTTTCTTGAGCCACCGATGTTGCAGCAACATTGCACTTCGAGTAATGTTTTTTTAAGGTTGGCTCTCATCTGTGGAGCTTGGTGGGGTATGCCCGCGTCCTGGTGCTCTGGTGCCCTGGTGCCCTGGTGCCCTGATCCCTGAGACCTGGTCCTCTGGTCCCCTGGTCCAACGGTCCTGCGGTCATCTGGTCCCGTGGTATTGGGGTGCGTTGGCTGGTCACAGCAAGAGAATCCCGCCGCTCTATATATCACGGTCAGCTATGTGATATGTGTCTGCGGTTCTATCTTGCCAGTCGTCTCTGCTTTCCCCGATTGAGGCAGCACAAGGGGAGATCACGAACAGTACCACTACCACTAGTGGTGGTCGTCCGACGATCCACGACATGGAGGAAGTGCTGGAGAGAGCCGATGCGTCGGTACGGTATGGTCATGGCTGCGAGCTCTATCTTTATGCAATGATCCTGGGCGACCGGCTGCGACGGCTATCCCCCACTGTCTTTATTATGGTCAATCGCAAACTTGCGTTTGCCGCGCTTTGCTGCGACGATGGTTTCGACAAATCTATTATTAGGCTACATGTCGATGAACAGGCGTTTGGGCTTTGGGGTTCGAACAGCACAAGCAGACCACAAGCCCAGCTCTTCACGAGATTGGCTTTTGGACGAACTTCCCCACAGAAGCGTCCTACACACTGACCAACAATTGCCCGATGGCCTCTTGTTTGCTGAAGACTGACGCATGCAACCTACGCAAATCTCTAGGGAGTTGCACCACAACAAGCACCCCAACCAGAAAGGACAACAGCTCGGTTAGTGTTTGCTTTTCTGAGTGTTGGAAGGGCTCTGAACAAAATTGGAACATGAACTTACTACAACCCAAACTGGCGAAGTTGCGTAATAAAGTATGTAAAAATCACATTGTTTAAAAACATCGATTTCAACTCTTCATGAAAGTTCGCCGGTAGTTTCAAAAGCAATGGAGTGAGGTCGCAACAGCATGCCGGCAAAGGCCCGCTGGTCTCCAGTGAGGAAGGCGGCGGCTTTCATTTGATGGTGAAAGTTCGTGGAGGGTTTCTTCTCCCGACAACCATTTAAACCAACAGGAATGATCCCTGGGGTTTGGTGCAAATATCTCGTTTTGGGATCTTGCTGCCAACAAAGCTTAACCAAAACAAAATCCCGTCGTAATAATCGAGAAGCCGAGACCTTTCAGTCACTGCTGTGTTAGCAATTGTGCCGGTGTAATTACCAGTAGTGAAAGTTTGGTATAATATAATGTGCCCCAAAACGATGTTGTAATTATTACTTCTAAACCCATAACACTAAACTTTACACCTTCTTCGAATTATGACACCTGCATGAACCAGCTTGCTTAGGAGTGTCTAGGGCAGGAGGATTTCCTGGAAGCATAGGGTCTAGGGCGGCGCTTGGAGGTTTCCCAACATTTTCCGTGATCCCTGCCCATATGAGTTCCCTGAAACACTTTATAGTTGTAGCAACCCTAGCAAGCTTTGGCAGCATGTTTACCAGGTGGACACGGCGTCTCCACGTACAGGAGGTCCGCAGCACGATGCAGGGAAGTGCGGGTGGTTGTTGTCGTTGTTGTCGCAGTGGTGCTGCTGCTGGTCATGACTGCTACGATTCATAGCAACTGTCCCTCTTGTAGTCTTATCTTTTTTCATTCATGTTCTGCTTCTCGTCCTGCTTCTTGTCCTTCTTTTGTTTCCGTGGGGTGGGAGCTGCATGTCGGGGTCCAGTGCTTGGGGTCTTTCAGCTTAGCCTTCGGGCCTCCGAGGCTTCGAAGCCCTCAAGCCTGGGATCCCAAACTCCACATAGTCTAGTATAGCATAGTATAGTACAGTATAGTATAGCATAGTACAGTGTAGTGTAGTAAAATGCAGTATATAGTAGCCCCCTTTCAAGAAAGGCAAGGTTTCGGGCTCAAGGTTTAGGACTTGGGTTTTCAGGGTTCCTTCCTGCGTTCCTCGAGCCCGAACCCAAGCCCTCGATCCGGAGCACTTAGGGTCGGTGGTGGTTGGGTTCAGAGACCTTCCGGTGTCGCGAAAGGTCGAGAAGAAGCCAAACTCCAGGGCTTCGGTGTGGGGATATGAAGCTTCAGAGCTTAGTTTTTTTTTTTACGAACTGCGGGTTTAGGGATTAGGGTTTAGCTTTTTGTTGCTTGGGTGTAAGTTTTGAAGTTTGGACCGCTCATGAGCAGACTTTTCGGAGCCGGAACCCCGACATACGTGCCCTCAATTACCGTCAGTGTCAAACCCTAGAATTCTTTATCTGCTGACATTAAACCTAACTCCAAACCCTCAACCCTAAGCCTTCACGCCGCAAAACCTAAACGAAGCCGAAACCGGGGATTCCGAGCACTTTCGGCCCTTCTGGCACTGAGGGGCCTCTGGCCGCCGGCGTGAGGCTGGGCCACCAAGGCCCACTTGCTTGTAATTTGTAATGTCGTTAGGTTTTAGGGGTTTCGCGTTTGAGGAGCTTGAGGGTTTAGGGTTTAGATGCCAATTAAAGTCGTGATAGCTAATCAAAAGATTCTGCTAAACTCCACTCCTGAACCCTATTTAGATTCTGAAGCCCCCTGTAGTGAGCGGCCTTGGTGTTCGAAGTCTGGCGCGTGGTCCTGTGATTTTGGGTTTGGGCTTGCGGGTCTCTGGCATCAAGGCTTCGACGCCTGCTGATTTACCTCCATCGTAACGCATTGATGGGTCTTGCACTTGAGTGCTTTGGAGTTTAGGGATTAGGGTGCATCAGTCTAGGATGTGGGTATATTATAGCAGGGATTGAAAGGAGCAATGAGACGAACTCTTGCTAATGCCGCAGGCCCCTACAGTGAGGGATGCGTCAGTGAAGCAGTTCGGCCTTTAGCATGGTTCTATTACCAGTTCTGAAGCTGAGCCGAGTTCGATGATCGCAGTCCACCCAAGCGAAAGATCCAGACCACTTGGGGGCATCCTAGGAGCCATACCTCTTACTGTTATTGCTTACTCCCAGAATTGGGAACACGATCACGCTGATTATTACTGTTACCTGTATTGCGCTTATTGGCATTCTTGCCTTCATCGTCGGTATGGTTATTACTGTTGTTGTCATCGCCTAAACCCTAAACCCGCTTACTTGTTGCTTTTGGTGATTACTTCTGCTTTTGATTTGTCTTTGAGTCGCCAGAACGGCACCCAGGGCTTTGTCGGGCCAACATGCCAACAGAAACGGATCCCTCACGCAACGACGGGCGAGAAAGGGCCCGAGGTTTAGGCATTTAGGGCTAGGCTTTAGGGTCTAGAAATTAGAAATTTAGGGTTAGGATTTAGGGTTAGGATAGCGTCTGGCCCCCAAGTCCTGAGGCTGTCTGCACACCTAAACCCTAAAACCCAAATCCCTACATCCTCAACCCCCTGAAAAACCCTATACCCAAGACCCTGAACACCCTAAACCTTAATCCCCCAACCCCAAAGCCCCAAAGCCCTAGACCCTAAACCCTGGACCTAAAACCCTCAACCCTAAACTCAAAATCTTAAACCCTAAACCCTAAATCCTAAACCCCAAAACCCCTAAACCCCCAACCCCAAAGCCCCAAAGCCCTAAACCGAAAACGGAGGAGGCCTCCGGCATCCCCCAGCCGAGCGGAGCAGAAGGCCGGTGATAAAAAAAATCCTGGGGTTCTTTAAAGGGATCCATTAGAAGCTGCCCCCACCCTGTAATAGTGGTATAATAGGAATATAATAGGGCCCTAACATAATCCTATATAATCCTTATGGTCACTATTACAGGGTGGAGGCAGCTTCTAAGGGATCCATAAGGATACGTTGAAGGGGCTCCTTCAAGAGATCTATACGGTTTTAGGGTTTAGGGTTTAGGGTTAATGATATACACCCTGCATTACTTTAATGACCCTCCGTAAACCGTAAAAGGAATCCTTTTTCAGGAATCCCTAAAACACCGAGCCTGGATATGATAACTAGACGGGGTTCCCTTTGCAGTAAAGGGTTGAGGGTTTATACATGCAATGTGGGGGCCTTGACAAACAGAACTTCTATAAGGGTTCGATCCGGGAGGTAAGGTGTCGGGGACGTTGTCAACTGCAGCAGGGTTTGGGCGGATACGACAGTACATGCGCACACATACTTGCATGCATGACATGTGTGACATTGACACATGAGTATGCATACTTGATGTTTCACCAGTGCCGTTCTTTTACGTACCGGGTGAGTTCCCACCAGGCATGCCTGCATTCATTGATCTTTGCAATCTGACATTTTGTTTGCCAACCTGCAGGTAATACATGTGCTGAATTAAGCATGTTATAATCTACTGGCCATGTTGGCCATTTTGGAGCGCATTATGCATGGAGATTTTAGGTTTGTGGCTTACATGTGCTTCGTGTTGGTCATGGTTGCACTCTTCACTTTTCTACTTACTCTTCATCTTCCATGTTCGCTTGGTATGCTGAGTATGCTGACGCATATTGAGAACAAGTTAGTTTTCGTCTGCTTTATTTCTCTCTAGTGGAGCTCAGTTTTTGCACTTCGGATCAGGGCCGGGCTAGCAGTAGCACTGATGCTGTCGCTCCTTCAACCCCGCCCCCCCCCCCGCTATTCCCTCCTGCTGCCGTTACTTCTGTTTTTGCTTGTGCTGCAACAGCGGCAGCTGCCATTGCTGCCACAACAACGACGACTGCTACCCTCCTCCTCCCACTACTACTACTACTACTACTACTACTACTACTACTACTACTACTACTACTCCTACTCCTGCTGCTACTACTACTACTACTTCTACTACTACTACTACTACTACTACCACTACTACTACTACTACTACTACTACTACTACTACTACTACTACTACTACTACTACTACTACTACTACTACTACTGCTCTAGTGGCACCACCTACTACCAGTCGGGCTTCAGGATTCTGGCGCGTTGGGAGCAAGCGGTACTTTTTCGGTTTTGACTTCGGAGGCTTCGTCGTTCCAGGGTGGCACAATACAACCGCCTAAATAATTACGAATACTATCTTTTGGTTCTTCAATATAGTTACGACATTACATACCCCAAAGCCCTATTCTGAAATACTAAGGCCTCTACGTTACCCTAAACCCTAAACCCAAAACCGTTAGGGTTTCGGTTGGAGGGGATCCTCATATGGTACAATAAATAGTAGGATCCTTATTATAAGGACCCCCAAAAAAGGGAGCCCTAATGTTCGGAAGCGCCCATATTTGAAACCTTGGCTCCCAAACCCGAAACCCTGGAGTCTCAATCCTAAGCTTCTTCAGCATCACAAGAGGCGGCCCCCCCCACCCTAAGCCCTGAGTCCTAGACCCCGACGCTGAAAGTTCAGAGCTCCAGGCAAAAGCTCGGCAATTGGAGGACGCGGCTTCGGCTCCGGTGAAGAGAGTAGAACAGGAAGGTTTCCACGATATTCAGATTGTTACATGATGCGCCGCCGCCGCCGCCGTACTGCGACTACTGCGAGCACCTTTACAGAGTTTGCCGGATGCCCCGGACATGCTCATGCGTCCAGATCTAGGCCCTAGATTCCATCTCAACCCCTCAAGCTCAATCACTGAACCCTATGTGCACATCCTCAACCCCGAGCACACAATCCTAAATCCCATAAAGCCCACAGTTCTGCTACTACGGAAATCCAGGATCGGCTGATGTGCAAGGTCTTCACCTTGTTGCAGAAAGTTTCTGCGCCACATCGATCCCCGTCCTTGGTAGATATTTGGGGTTCAGCTGTTTTGGGTCGTAGTTTCAGTTTCAGGGTATGGTATGGAAAGGCTTTCACAACCTAGCCGCACCCTGAGTATCTGATCACGCTCTCCTAACACTAAGCTGAAGATGATTCCGTTGTGTCCCACAACAAGCTTGAGTCTGTTGATTGGGATGTCCCTGAGCCCCTAAGCCTAAGCCCCAGGAACCCTACACCCCCTCTCGAGACCGTCACAGCTTCGTAGCAAAGTGAGTTCAAACAAAACCAATCAAAAAGCTCATTCCCTAAACCCACTTCCCCAACCCTCAACCCTAAACCACTACTAGCACTACTACTGCTACTCCGATTGCGATTACGTGTTGCTGGCACCCGTGACTCAACTGCCAGAATTCTCGAGAGTAATCCGGCGTCAAAGCCAGATAATAGCAGCATAGCACTCTTGACACGTCCTGTGGTCACAGACATGTACTGCAGGAGAGAGACCCTCTACTGCAGAGGCCTTATTAATTCCCTATGCTATTTTGGGCGTTCCTTACTGTAACTATAGTATCATGGGCCCCAAAACCCTATTCTAATCATTTAGCCCCCTATATCATATACCCCTACTATAGATGCCTTATACCCCTTTATGGGGAACCCTTTGAAGGGAACCTTGTTCTGATTATTGAGGCCCCTATATTATAGAGCCCGAAAAGCCCTTGGCCCTCCAGCACCTCTTCGCTGTGGAGTTTGCACCCTCACACTTTACAGCCCTCAGCCCTATATACATCCCCCAAACCCTCAACCCGAACTTTAACGCCTAAACTTATCCGGGTGCAAGAGCTCGTTCCTCGCTCTTATAAGCATGTTGTACCCTTAAATCCTACATCCTACCCCCTAAACCCTAAAGACTACGCCCTACACCCTAAATCCTCAACCCCTAAAGTTTAAAGCCTTCACCCTGAACTTTAAACCTAAAAACCCTAAACCCTAAACCTTGAAGCCTAAACCCTAAACCCCACACCCTAATCCCTAAACCCCTAAACCCTAACTAGAACCCTAAACCTGATACCCTATCCCCTCGACCCTATCCCCTCAACCGCACACCCCAAACCCGATGCCCTATGCCGTAGAGCCTATATAGACCCTCCGTATTCCCCCATAACTCTAAAGCCTTAACCCTAAAACCCAAAACCTGAAAGCTTAAAACCCCAAAACCCCACGCCCCCAACCCGAGACCCGATCCCCTAGGCCCATAACAGACCGAGGACGAGGTCTTCTGCAGCGCAGCTTCTCGCAGGCCCAGCGCCTGGCTCTGGAGGCCCGGGGTGCCTGAAGAGCCCAAGGGTTCAAGGCTTTAGGGTTTTAGAGTTTTGGGGTTGGTTTAAGGGTTTAGGGTTTTAGGGTTTAGGGTTTAGGGTTTGCGGTTTAGGATTTACGGGTGCAGAGGTTTAGGGTTTTGGGGTTTTGGGGTTTAGGGTTTAGGGAAGAGCCCAATACCCTTTCAGTGAACCAAAAAAAGACTGAATAACAAGAGAATAGGGTTTCTGTCTAAATCCAGATAAAGGGGTGTATAGGGGCTCTCAATGAACGAACAATTTTGCCTACCAGAACCTGTTTTTTAGGTATAAAGAAATTCCACATCAGCATTTAGAAGCAGAGCCTGCAAACAAGTAGGTTTTGGCAGGTTAAGGTATGCTTTAGATCATAAACCAGGTCCTTATAGTTGAGGGTAGATCTTCTTTAGTTGACCAATAAAGCCCTTGTAGCTTGGGTTTGAGGTATACAGTACATGGTCAGTCGGGTGGGATGCGGAGACCCTCTTCCCCCTCTGGGGTGGTTGTGGGGTTTTGGGGTTTTGGGTTCAGCTTAAGCTTCTGAGCTTCGAGTCGACAAGGGTTTAGGGAGGGATTGGGGTGTAGGTTCGTTAGCCAAAAATGCCACCGGGAACCCCCAGCTGATGTGCGTGATGCGATCGGGGAGCCAACGCCTGCAAAATATCGCATGCCTGCAAGCCAGCTTGAAATAAGGAGCTCCTGTAGAACCCCTTAGACCGAATCGCTACCAAAACCCTAAACCCTTCTAGAGGGTGGGTAAAGGAACTTTCATAAAGCCTTTGAAAGAAATTCCTATAGAACTCCTCAGCCAGAATCATTACAAAAACTCTATCCCCTAAACCACATTAAGCCCTAAGCCCTAAACCCCTAAACCCTAAACCCATTTAAAGGAGCTTTCTTGCTTTGCAACCCCGGTGGAAGGCCTGGGCTCTCGCCCAAAAACCGGCGCCCGCGGCTGCAGCGGGGCCAGGCCCCGGAGAGCTGGAATTTAGGGTTCAGAGTTTAGGGTTTTAGGGTATAGGGTTTGGGGTTTAGGGGTTTAGGAGTTTAGGAGTTTAGGAGTTTAGGGTTGAGGGTTTCGGGTTTGGGGTTTAGATATGGGGTTTTGGGTTGAGGGTTTAGAGTTTAGGGTTTAGGGTTTTGGTTTGAGGGTTGAGGGTTATAGAGCTTAGGGTTTAGAGTTGGGGTTTTGGGGTCCGAGTTTAGGGTAGCGCCTTTACAGGGCTTTACTTTACTAGGGCCCCATGGCTTAGGGTTTAGGTTTTATTTGGGTTCTTTGAGGGGCATATATCATACATACCGTAATGCATGCCATGAAACTTGCAACTCAGGGTGGTAGAGGGGAGGGGTTTAGGCTCGCGAACTTTAAACAATGAACCGTAGGCCCTGACCCTCCATCCCAGATAGCACAAAATCCTTAAATTATAAAATACGCATCAAATCACACACAAAGGTGTCTTCGGTTCCTGAAATCAGGGCTTGTCGTTGCCTTAGGATCCTGCAACCCCAAACCCCAAACGAAACCTCCCCGAGAAAGGCGAGCTCCAGCTGCAAGGGGGTGCTCCGGCGCTGCTTCCGCGACTCGTCATCGCTTGGGAAGCCTTAAGCCCAAGAAGGCTTTAGGGCTCAGGGCCTTGGGTTTTGGGTTTAGTTTAGGGACACCCTACACCCTGATTGAACGTAAATTGGCTCAGAAAGCCATTAAAGAACTCTGTAGAAGCCAAGCTTTCACGGTTCCAGAATCTCCAGTCTCGTAGGTCCAGGTATTTTTTGCGATATAGGTTTCAGGCTTTGCGGTTTAGGATTTATCAGATTCATAAACCCCTAGAAATTTTAACGCCGTTTGTGACACCATTGAAAAAAGCCCTTTAAGCCCCCCTGTGTTGGAGGTTGTTTGCTCACAGCTTGCTAAGTGGCTAGGCCTCCTCTGGTTCTCAACAAGCCTGGGGGTGCCGTGTGCAGTAAGCTCTGTTCCTGTTAAACCTTCAAACCTGCTTTCAGGGTTTAGGTGTCCACAACAAGGAAACCAGAAACTGAGTCCTTGCAACAAGAAACCTGCTACCTCGAGGTCCATGTAATCAGGAACCTACTACTTAGGGTTCCTTAGAATCAGAAGCCTTTCTTTCCTACTTCCCTTGACACGCTCACCTTTGCATCAGGCAGTCGCTCTGCGATGCTTCGCCCTCGTCGCCGGCAGCACTCCGCAACTTCGAAGCAGACACCTGGGAGGTGGGGTGATCAGCACCAACACCCTGACCTAAACCTTCAACCCTAAACCTAAACCCTAACCCTATACCCTACAGGCCAAACCCCAAACCCTAAACCCTAAACCCTAAACCTAAACCTTAAACCCAAAACCCTAAACCTAAAACCCTAAACCGTGCCTCGCAAGCCAAGACCCAGAACTCACCGGCCAGGTCGGTTCCTCAGCGCACGCAGAGGCGAGGTTTTGAATCACAGAAACCTCCTTGAAAGGTTCCGTTCAGGGTTTAGGGTTCAGGGCTTAGGGTATAAGGCTCGATGATACAGGCGGTTGGGATTGGCTGTCTTATCGGTTGAGGGCTTTTAGGATTTGGGGTTTTGAGTTTAGGGTTAAGGGTTTAGGATTTAGGATTGGCAATTTGATGTTCGGGGTTTGGGGTTTGGGGTTGAGGGCTTTCGGGATTCAATGAAAGATACTTGAAGGTTTGTGGGCAGTTATAAGTGGGCATATAAGTACCTCAGTGGGCGTTAGAGGTAGCGATAGTACGTATATGTGCCAGACTTTTGGCACCATTAACTATGCCTCCTGATCCTCTACATAAGACTCCCCCTCCGAACTCGGGACTGCAGGCCTCAGCATTCAATGTTTGGAATTGTGGGTTTGGGGTTTAGGATTTGGGATAACTTCGGGTTCAGGGTTGAGGATTTAGAACTATGTAGAGTGTAAAATTTAGGATCTACGATACTCTGCAGTTCAGGGGTTTAGGGTTTCAGGGTTTTTGGTTCAGGCTCGAAGCTTTGCACCAGGGGTTGGGCCAACCTGAAGTCTGCCCGAAACCCAAAGCCTTGATCCCTAAACCCTAAAGCCTAAACCCTAAACCCTAAACTCTTAAGCCCTAACCCTAAACCCTAAAGCCTAAACCCTAAACCCTAAACTCTTAAGCCCTAAACCCTAAACCCTAATTCTTGAGAGGGCCCTGATTCCTAAGCCCTATCTCCCGATTCGGGCTCGAAACCCTCAGGTTTAAAGTTTAGGCTTTGGGTATAGCGTTTACCTGGACTCTAAAGAACCTCCTTTTAGAGGGTTCCTTGTTGTAATAGGTAGGTCCTTCAGGGTCCAGGTAGGGTTCAGGGTTTACTCCTAAACCCTGAACCCTAAACCCTAAACCGAAAACCCTAAACCCTAAACCCTAAACCCTAACTTTCGGCTTCCTCAAGCCCTTAACCTCGTAGACGATCCGAGAGCCTTGGGACAACCCCCCTTCAAAGGCGCCCTCAAAGTAGCTTAGGGTTTAGGGGTTTAGGGCTTAGGTTTAAGGTTCAGGTTCAGGGTTTAGGGTTTAGGTTCAGGGTTCAGCGTTCAGGGTTTAGAGTTTCGGGTTCAGGGCTTTGGGTTTAGGGTTCAGGGTTTAGGATTTAGGGTTTGGGGTTCAGGGTTTAGGGTTTAGGGTTCAGGGTTTAGGGCTTAGAGTCCCTGGCAGGTCAATGCACCACGTCACGTCAGTGTGCGGGGGATCGCCGCCTTTTTGCGCCGAGGGCGGGTTTTCTACCAGGCCTTTCTGTTGCGTTTTTTGCCTGGTGTTAGGGTCTATTGAAAGGTGGAAGCTTGAGGACAGGGCTCGTGCTGGGGCATGTTTGACGATTTTGCGCTTGACCCATGGAAATTGTGTCGAGGGATTTGCAATCTGTCTTGCGGTGTAGGATTCGGATTCAGCGGTGAAGGATTACACCATGCGGATCTGATGCAGCAGCTTAAGTACAAATGGTACCCCTTCATACACCACACTATATGAGTAAAGTATAATATGTACCGAAGCCCTATATAGCCAGAACCCTGAACTCTGAACTTTAGATCCTATCCAGTACCGCATATTCCGAAACTTTGTGTAGTCAGAACCATGAGCCTTAAACCGTCAGCCGTATTCTCCTTAAAAAGGCACTGAGTGCATACTACAGGTTGCCATAGAGGCTTGAGCCAATAGCATTCCTTAAAGTTTCTCTGTATGGCTATACCATAATGAAACCAGAGACGCTGTTCTGACTACTAAGGGCCTTATACATCCTAGTACCTTGTAGAACCCTGATAGAACCCTTAAAGGGGACCCTTCCAAGGAGCCCTATTCCAAGACTATGATTACAAATGCGGATGCTATTCGTGGTGATCGTTCTGGTTTTGGCGAGTGCGGCCGACAGTAGTGTAAGAGTAGTTGATTGCTGATGATGATTTGCCGTCTGACGTCGATAGGGGTGACGCTGGTGGTGTGGTGGAAGTGATGGTGCGATGACGATGATGTTGTCATGATGACAACGCTGGTGGTCGTGATGATGCCACTCATCACATCAAATTTTCAACAGAATTGGAACTAACGGCAAAGCGGCGACAAGACAGATGGGGAAGACACAGCACTCGGCCAGCAAACCTCCTTACATCCTGAACCCTCCAAGCCCCAAGCCCTAAACCCTCAACCCCTGGCCCTCGTTGACCTCCTTAGGAAGTGCTTTGGAGCAGGCCCTGGAGAAAATGAGTTTCAAAAAAGTCTAAACCCAAAACCCTATTTAAAAGCCCCAAGCCTTAAACTCTAGACCTTGAGCCCAAAACCTTAAACCTTATAACTTACAGCCCTAAACCCTAAACCCTAAAAGCCCCAAGGCTTGAAACTCTAGACCTTGAGAGGCGAGCCTTTGCATCCAAAGCTTTCACATGACGGTCCGGCGAGTTCCGGAGCGCCTCCGAGCTGGGGGATTGGATGCCAGTATATTAGTTATTATGAGTATTGTGGTTGCCTAAATCATTACCAATACCATTGTGGGGGTTCCTCATTATAACAATAGTATATTGGGCCCCAAAACCCTAGGATAATTATTAAGGCCACTATATCATATTCCCCTACTATAGATCCCTTATAGGACCCTTTACAGAACCTTCCTTCAAAGGAACCCTCCCCGAGACTGTTGCACGTATGGAGTGGCATTCCGGGCCGACTCAGACTTCTCAATGTGGGAGTGTCCGAGAATTAGGGGTACCTTCTTTTGGGGTCCTTATACTAAGGATCCTACCATTTAGGGTACTATATTAGGGTCCCATCTTTTCGAAAACTCCCATATTGATTATTATGAGTATGCTTGTGATGATGACGATGGTTCGTAATATTATTAGTAGTAGTCGTCGTCGTAGTAGCCGCAGTTGTAGCAGTAGCAGTGGCAGTAGCAGTAGCAGCAAGTAGTCGGGGTATCCCCTTACTGTCCCGATGCAAGTATACTATATAATCTGCCCCGAAACCCTAAACCCTAGATTCCCTAAACTCCAAGCCCCTAAACCCTGAACCACTAAACCCCAAAAGCCCTAAACCCTAAACCCTGAGCCCCCGAACCACTGAAGCCCTAAACCCCTAAACCCTAAACCCCAAGCCCCTATAAACCCTGAACCCCTAAACCCTGAAACCCTAAACCCCTAAACCCCTAAACCCTAAACCCCAAGCCCCTTAACCCCCAAACCCCTCAACCCCTAAACCCTAAACCCTAAGCCCTGAAGCCCTAAACCTCTCAACCCCTAAACCCTTAAACCCTACATGATGAGAGCCTCGGTATTTTAAAGTATCGGCCTCGGGTTTCAGCTCCGGGGCTGGGTCCTTTAGGCTTGTAGGGCTTAAGGTTCTAAGGTTTAGGCTTGGTTTAGGGTTAAGGGTTTAGGGTTTAGGATGAGGATATGGGCGTGGGGCCTACCAGCCAAGAGGTGACCACAAACCCAACGCGAGAGAAAGCCGAAGAGTTGCTGGGTGATATCATTTGAGTTCTAATAAGAACATGGTGAGAAGTAACTCTGCAGCCGGTTCGCCAAGCGCTTTCGTATGTGACAATTGAACTATATAAGGCTTGCCCTCCCAATGCTGGCAAAGATCCACGTGACACACATGGTGCCGGGTGCTGGTGGTCTGTCCGACCTCTGCGAGGGCATTCTCAAGTCTGGAACACGAGGTCTCATCTACATAGACGAGCCAACAAGCAAGGCGAAAGTGGTTCTCGATGACATGGAGGCAACTTTCAAGTCGGTACCAAGACCGTGTCGCCAGACTCGGTGAGTTTCGGCGTTTGCTGCGGTCGCCGATTCGATCTCCTCGGCCTGGTGACGGCAAAGATGAAAATCTTCACGCCGTCTCGCGAGATGTTCGTGGTGACTTGCACAGCTGGAAGCGCACAGAGCAAGAACAAAAAGTCCACGTACTTCGTGTGCGGAGGGATTCAGAAGTCGACATCGGTTCAGAGGAGTTCGAGACTCTGGGCCTTTAGGGTTCAGGATTAAAGGGTTTTTAGTCTAGGGTTTAGGGTTCAGGGGTTTAGGGTTTAGGGGGTTTAGGGTTCAGGGGTTTAGGATTTAGGGCTTGAGGGTTCAGGACTAAAAGGTTTTTAGGTTTAGGGTTCACGGGTTTAGGGTTTAGGGCTTTAGGGTTCAGGGCTTAAGGGTTTTAGGTTTAGGGTTTAAGGTTTAGGCATGAAGCTTCGCTGCCGGCATACACTCCAAGTCCGTGCTCAAAAAAGGGTTTAGGCATAAGGATTCCTTTGCAGGTTCATGTAAGGGTTCCTGTAAGGGTTCCTTTACAGAAGTCTATAAAGGTTCCATGAAGGTTCCGTATAAAGAATCCTTTAAGGGGTTCCTTTCTGGGCTCGCTAAACTAACCCTGAACCTTGAACCGTAAACTTGAAACTGTATACACCCTAAACCGAGGAATCCTTAACACGACTCGCGGATTTTTCGAGCATTTCCGATTTCGAGGCCTCGAATTCAAGGGCTCGGGTTAGTGTTTGGGATGTTGGGGTTCAGGGTTTGGGGGTTTATGGTTAGGTGCGTGGTTTATGTTTGAGGTTCAGGTGTTAGCTTACAGTCCGCATTCCCCCTCTCTACACGCTAGGGCTTAGATCCACCCCAAAACCCCAAATCCCCAAAAAGTCCAGAGGAGCTGGACCGAGCTCTGGATGTGCTTCTCCTCCTCATGTCCGTGCGGAATCGTGTGGGTAGCGCCTTGGAATTTCGAATGCCTGTGTTTTCAGGGTTTAGGTTTTAGGGTCTGAGCCGATCGATCCGTACATTTGGGAGTTTCCGAAAATTAGGGGTACCGTGTTTGGGGTCCTTAGAATAAGGATCCTACTGTTTAGGGCACTATATTAGGGTCCCCTGTTTTCGGAAACTCCCGTGTAATACATCTGTATGCTAAACCGGCACATAGCATAGTATGAAACACCAGGTGTCAATATGCAAGATGATGCCGCCTTGAATCTTAAACCGTCCTACCCAGAGTGCCCCGTAGTCCTTAATTGAGGAATACATTTTAAACCATAATACCAAGTCCACTATATTCCTGAATTAAGGGGTGCTGGGCTCTCTGGGAACACCCTTGAGGTTTAGGTTCCATCTGTTCGCAAAGGGTTCGCTATCCCTTGCGGCCTTGATAAAATGGCTTAAAGCATATTCCTTAATGCCCTTTAGCAAAGGAATATTCCTTACATGTAAGAGGCCTCAAGTGTGGTTTAGCGGATATTCCTTGAGTCAGGATCTCTTAAACCCTAAACCCTTAACCCCAAGCTTTCGGCTCGTTTGAGTCGAGCTGGCAAGTTTACATGGCAGCTCGAGGAAGAGCCGAACATTCCTGGAGTTTTGCGTGGATTTTCCGGCTGTTTCATCTAGGTCTTAGAGGCTTTGAGGCTTGGGGTTCAGGGTTTGGGGTTTTTGGTGGGCTTTTGGTGCATTAGGGTTTTAGAGGCAGAGCTTCCTGCATTTAGTTTGGCGGCTTCAGGCGTAGGATTGGTAGGATGAGGATGCTCATGCCAAAGGAGGGGACTCAGATTTCGTCGGGTTTTAAGGTTTAGGGTTCTACGACTAAGTCCGGTGAATTTCGCGAAGCGCCGGAGTGCCGATTGAAACTCGTCTGCGGATGCCCGGAACTTGCAACCCGACAGTCCCAAAGCCTTTTGCTTACCTCTCGCTAGTAGGGAATGGAGGAATGTACAATTATAACGACCCTACTAGCCAAAGGTAGCCTCTTGCCGGTTGTTCAACGTCCGTGTCCCATGATAGTCATACTGTAGTCAAGATTTCCCCTCACACTTACGGAGGTGCACTCTGAAAGCTTCCCAGAAAGCCTACAATTATTTAGGAGTATAACTTAAACCATGTCAAGGAAGGCCCCCATGATTTTAGGTAGATTCCTTGAGTAAGGGGTGTTGGGCTCTCTGGGTTCTTATTTGAGAAGGACGTGTCGATAACCATGCCTCCCCAGAGATTCCAATATCCCTTAGTTAAGAGATATACCACAAATCATAGTAGGAACCCTAAACCCTAAACCCTAAACCCCTAAACCCTAAACCCTAAACCCCTAAACCCCTAAACCCTAAACCCTAAACCCTAAACCCTAAACCCCAAAAGGAATATTCCTTAATTACGGGAGATTGGTGTCTCTGGGTCCCAGGCCCCGAAGATCCGGAGGCTTTTGCGCATCGAGACTTGGACAACGATAAGGGTTTTAGGGTTTAGGGTTTTAGGGTTTAGGGTTTTAGGGTTTAGGGTTTAGGGTTTAGGGTTTTAGGGTTTAGGGTTTAGGGTTTGGGGTTTAGGGGTTTAGGGTTTAGGGTTTTAGAAGAGTTCTGGGGCTTAAAACGGTCTTAGATGCTTTCTGTGGGGCTTTAGAGGCCTTTGGAAGATTTCTGGGGCTTTTGATGTTTCTGTAGGGTTGGGTTTTATGTATGGTTTCATAAAGCAATACAGACTTTGGAGTATTACAATCCCTTTCTTGAAGGGCCTACACGGGGGTGGATTAATCAGGGCTCTCGATGAAGATACCTGCTTTTTGGGCCTCAGGGTCTTAATATAGGGGCCGAAATAATGACCAGTACCATTTTGGGGGTTCCTTAGTACAAGGGCCCCCAGAGCCCTATTCTATTTTAATTCTCAAAGCCCCTATACTAGGATCAGCAGTCTGTTCAGGTGCAGGGCAGCATAGGGCTTGGGGTTTCGGGTCAAGGTGTCGGGTTCGCACGCCCCGGCGGACCAGTTCCCAGAAATCCATCATCCCCTGTCGTACCTCGTTAGTCACCGCAGCGATTCCGCCCACGTGTGCGCCGCAACGCTTACTATAGCGTTGCTGGCAGGCGTCATCATGCCATGACCAGCAGCAGCATTTGCAGCAGCAGCAGAAGCAGCATCACCAGCAGCACCATCGTCATTATTATTCTGATCATCATCAGTATCGTTGCAATCTTAATCCTCACCACCTTCACCACCATCACCATCACCATCACCATCACCACCACCACCATCACCATCACCATCACCATCATCATCATCATCATCACCAACATCATCAGCATCACAATCCGCACTACTCCCTATCAGCAACACCATTACCAGCGCGAGCATCAGCTTCATCACCACCTCAATATAGATGGTTGAATTATGCAATGTTGCTGTTATTGTTGCTGCTTTGTGGCGGCTGCTCTGGTAGTCTTTGTTTGCATTGTATTTGGTTGAACGTCACATTCCTGTTTCTGTTCTTCATGAGCAGATGCACATACATCCCAAGCCCCCAAGCCGCTAAAGTATCGCAGTCGAAAGCTTGGAGGACTTCGATCAGCGGTACCTGAAGTGCTGGCAGAGCACGGCGTCACTGCTGAGGACATGAACTTTGCATTCCTCGGTACTTCATGAATCAGGGGGATCACCAAGCCAGGCATCAGTTGTAAGTAGAGGTATATGGCGGGTAAACCCTAAACCCTAAAACCTGATATTCAGACCTTAGGCCGGCTTGATCGATTTGTAGCCCGGATAGATTCCTGTTTAACCCTTAATCAACCCGGACTACTCCTTAATGATGAGCCCTTAAAACACCCTTAGAGAACCCTAATGCACTCAGAACCCAGTAAGGATCAGTTGTTACATCTGTCTTTAGCATATACTCCAAACAATCACATAAAATGGTGTGTGTTCAGGCCCCTCCATGCTACAAACCCTTTGCGACCTACAAGTCCACAACATCCTTGTACGAACTTGCGCAGAGCTATAGCACCCTGTAATGCACCCTGAAAGCTGGTTTGTACCTATACTTCCGTGCATAAGGATGAACATCTGAGGTTGTACATGTTGTATCTATACACACATCTTTATATGCCTCTGTAAGCAGATATTAACTCGTATATGCATATGTAGATACTCATGCACATGAACAAACTGGTAAAAGAGATCGATCAACGCAGGAATGAAACAACTGACAAGCCAATAAACAACTGTGTAGATAGTTTGATGGCTAGAAGAGGAATCAACCAAAACAAGTTACACACATAAATGAACACGCATACATAGATCGTTAAACAGGCAAACCTACGCGCATGTATATACGTCCATGTGCATATGTTTACATATGTAATTATATACATATGTATATGTGTATATGTTTTTCGTATATACGCACATGCGGACATCCGCAAGTCAATTTGTCAGGAGATCGGCTTGCGTTTCCAAGTGATGATCTGCATGCGCTTCTGGGCCTCCTGGCCAAAGCGACGCAACCCTCTTTTCAGGGGTTTAGGGTTTAGGGTTTACGGTTTAGGGGTTTAGGGTTTAGGGTTTAGGGTTCAGGATTCAGGGCTCGATTCTGGGTTTTTTGGGTTTAGGATGTATGGTTCAGGGTTTAGGGTTCGATTATGGGTCTTTTTGGGCTTAGGTTGAGGCTTTGGGGGTTAAGAGTTTCGGGCTTTCTAAGGGCTCTAGAAGGGCTCTGCAGTAGCTCTACAAGGAGTGTTGGGCTGCTGCTTTTTAGAGCTTAGGGTGCAGAAGGGCTAAAGGATGTTCTGAAGAGTAGCAAAGCAGCCCGAGAGCTACAAGGATCCTGAATCCTGAACCCCAAATCCCGAATTCCAAAGGACCGTTCGGGGTTTGAGGTTTAGGAATCCTAAACAATCGTTAGCATTGACGACTAATTTTCGGATCCGAAAGGAAAGAACGCCCAGCAGAAGCTTCTGGCTATACCTCTTCTCAGCCAGCATATAATGTAGCGTGATGTCCCCTTACATCCTTCATCTTGAGGCCCCTCTACCAAGCTCCCACCACAAATACAAAAACCAAAAGACTCCGTGTCCGCCGTGAAGAAAGCCCATCCTACGAACACGCAGCGAAGGCCCCAAGGGAACGCTATAAAGCCGCAGAGAATATAAACCTGCTAAGACCTGATATCAAGCTCGACGCTAACCAAAGAACCCAAATTGTACTTGGAGGTTCATGGATAGTCTACAAGTCTACAATGGGTGATGATTATGGTTACCCGGCTTAAAACCCACCGATAACTACCCATGAACTTGCAGAAAACCCGTCAGAACCAAAGAGCGGCGAGGTGAGACCCCCGCTGCACACGCCACAGCAGCAGTGCCTGGAGGTGGCGCTTGAGGCGTTGGGGGCCCGGCGGCCACGAGGAGCTTCCTTTTTTGTGGTAGGGCTTGGGGTTGACGGGCGGGGCTTCAGGGTTTCAGAGTTTTGGGGGTTTCGGCTGTAGGCATTTTATGCTTCTCCGGGTGGGGAATGGGGTTCGTAGGATTTTGGGTTTCGGGTTTCTGGGGCGTGGGGTTTGAAGCATGGGACTCAGGGTTGAAGATCTTGAGCCTATAGCTCATATATTTATGTGTATATATGTATATATATGTATATATATATATATTTATATATTTACCTATTGGACTTACACTTCAGGGTTTGGGGTTTCAAGGTTTACGATATATTATAGGACCCTGCGTTTTGGAGCTTACGGTTTTGGTTTCGGGGTTCCGATTGGGGGTAATGCCGCAGCACGACAGCAACCGTGAAGCCCAATGAACCTTAACTTGAAATCCTTGAACAATGAAGGAGCGTGGGAGTCAGCAAATAGAGTTGCAAATTAGGTGACCCCCTGAACCCTAAACCCTAAACCCCCAAACCCGTCAACCATGGCTGCTTATAGGTGAACCCTCGGGCTTTATGGGGCTTATAGGAGTTCGCGTTTGCAGGTATACCGGGCTGCATCGGCTCATTTTGAGTTTTGTTAGGCTTCGGTTCAGGGTAGGAAAGACATGAATGTCGAGGGTCTAGGGGTTCAAAATGTCTGTAGGGTCGTGGCTTTTGGTTTTGTTTTTTTTTTGGGTTCGGGTTTAGCTTGTTTGATTTGAGGGTTTAGTCGGCTTTTGTATCATCCGTAAGCCTTAAAAACTTGTACCTTTAGCCGGAGCCATGGCCGCAGGGGTATGGGGTTCATCCAAGACAGTGTTCAAGCTCTAAGCCCAAAGCCCTTGAACGCTTTGAAGCACCCGCCCATGACAAGACAGTTCCACTTTTCTTTGAAGAGACAGGTACTCGTACCCTAAAACCCTAAACCCTAAACCCTGAACCATATACCGGAATTTTTCATTGGGTCCGGAGCCTTCAACCATCATGCTCGACACCGAAGCCGCCATGCACACGATGTCTTATACCGAACTTCCCCAGAGGCTATCTCCCGGGTTCAAGGCGCAGGGTGTAGGATTTAGGGTTTAGGGCTTTGGGTTTTAGGGTTCAGGGGTTTCGGGTTTAGGGTGTAGGGTTTAGGGTTCCCCTTAGTAGCTTAGGGTTCCTTATAAGGATTCTTTCTAAGGACTTCTTTTGGGGTTCCCCTTAGCCTTAGGGGTCGCTTCTAGGGCTCTAGGGCTTAAGGCCTGAGAAGTCCTTGGACTCTTTGCACGTTTCTGCTTGGAGGGTCGGGGGACGTAGTAAGTAGGTAGTAAGTAGGCTTATAAGTACTCGAAAAAGGGACCCTAATTGGGGTTATGGTACTTATAGGTCCCTAAAATAACCAGTTACTAAGTCCCCCGACCCTCCAAGTGAGGTGGCGCCGCCTGACGTGCTTCCGCTCCCCTCTCGGCCAAGGATGCCATGCCTGGGATACCTAAGCGTTTAGGGGATTCTTCTGGAGGGCAGGTTGCTGTGGGGCCTGGGGTTTTTGCAGTCCATTTTTTGTATCATAATTACATTCAAACAACGCCAAGCACTTGAAAGGCACACGCAGCATTACACCACAAAGTCCCGTACACTTCTTTTCCTGAGTAATGTATTCAGGGTCAGGTTTAGCCTGTGTATAATCAGACGTCAACGGGTACGACATATAGGCATTAAGTGGCTACGTATTCAAAGTTCTTCCCACAACAACTATCACAGGCAGGAAACACCGTAAATACCGTGTACTCTGCACTTTATCCAACCAAGTCTTGGGGCAGGCCACATAGACTCGACACGTGCGACACGGAGCCTTTATCTCATCCCTGCAAGACTCTTCATTCTATCAAGCCAATCCACCCAACACCAGAACAATTGCATCATCTGCTTTGGCATGCAGTGTTCGGTTGTTGGAGAACCTGTAGGTATTGAATCAGCGTACTTATTTGGTAAAGTGCACAGGATTCGAAATAAGTGTTCAGGTCAGTGCTTTGAATTTGTTATTGCATGTCAACGAGTATGAGTGAGTTCAACTTATGTATTAGCATGTGTGACTTTCAAGGAACCAAGGAATAATTAAAAACTGCCTGTGGTTAACAAGTCTGCTACTTGTCGAAGATGACTCAGATCCTGTTTGCGCTTGTACATGTCCTGCTGGCTGCTGTAGGTACTATCGCTTTGGTTACCCACAGTCTACAATCTGGATCAATATGAATTCTGAAGCCGGACAGTTGGTTTTATGGGGCCGCTCGCGCTGAAGCCTCGCCTGGGGAATGATAAAGCTGCACGAACCGTCGTGGTCCAGGCCTTTGCATGATCTTGCATGGCCTTCATGTCCACAAATATCTGTATCAGAAATTCTTTTGGTTTGATATAAAATCAATCCTTTCATATCCCTCTGGTCCTCTAAGGTTATAAAGGTGGCAAAGATTGGACCTTTGAGCTTGTAGCAACAACACTTGTGTTTACACGGGAAGACAGGTATACGCATATGTGTACAATATTCCAAAGAAGTGAACCCTGTGTTTATGGACAGCTCTGTTGTTTTTAAACAAGGCCAGGTGTTTATCAACAGCCAACCACATAAGTCACATAACATTGTGTTTCCCGTACGCAGAAACACCGTAAATACCAGCAGTTTCATCGTTTTCTCAATCAAACAAGGTCTTGGTCTAAGCCACACGAACCGGTACGTGGCAAAAATCCAGTTAACGTATCAGTGTGTAAGACTTGCAGTACGGTGAGGTTTGTGAACTGGTTGGTTGGAGTCAGTGGCGCGGTGATGGTGCTGCTGGTGACGGGGGGAGCAGTGTGCAGGGCGGCGTTGGCTTTGCTTTTGGGGGAGAGGGGGGGGGTGGTGGTAAGTCTTTGGACATGTACCTAACACTCCCCCCCTCCTCCCCCCAGACCGGTGTTTATAGACACATACCTTTCTACATGTCTGGCAGGCTAGCTGTTTATAAACAAATACAACATCAGTTCTGAAGAGGAGGCACATGATTGTGACGACACGACATGTTTATAAACAAACCCGATGTTTACAAACAGACCTCGTGTTGCACAACAACTCATACTTGATGTTATAAACCGTCCAAAGCAACAACATACACGTACACACGCACCAAACTCGTACACAGTTCAGAGAACCCCACGTGCAATCACTCGAAACATACACAAAACCACTGAAAATAGTGGGTTGCCAAAACGCAGGCCCCACAGCCTCCTCTTCTGTTCTAATATCCCCTTAATTAAGGAACCTTCCTTGCCAGGCCTCCAGGGACTCCAACAGCCCCTTAAAAGCGGATCCTATCAGGGTTCCTTTAAAGGGTTCCTATCAGGGATCTAGAGGGTTTAGGGTTTACGGGTTTCCAATATCTCTGCATTAAGGATATTAAGGAATCTGCTTTAAATCAGATTAGGGATCCTACTATAACTATAACTTAAGGTATACTCCTTAACTAAGGGCTTTTGGAGTCGCACTGCCTAGGCGTCTTGGGTCTAAGCCCTAAGACCTACCTAAACCCCAAGTAACCTACTTTTTTTTAAGGACATTACATAAGGCAGTCTTAGTAGGGAACCCTCAAGAGGAAGGTTTTTGTAGGCCCCAGGTGGGCTTTAGGAAAGGGCTTCTTTCTCGACTTCCTGCTCCTTTCAGTCTTCGCAGGAGCTCGCGGCTTCGCGCGCATGGACCTCATGGAGCTGGAGGCAGGTTTTGGGGGTTTAGGGTTTAGGGTTGTAGGGTTGTTAGGGTTCAGGGTTTAGGGTTGTTAGGGTTCAGGGTTTAGGGTTGTTAGGGTTTGGGGTTCAGGGTTGTTACGGTTTAGGGTTTAGGGTTGCTAGGGCTTAGGGTTCAGGGGGTTCAGGGTTTCTAGGGTTTAGGGTTTAGGGTTCTTAGGGTTTAGGGTTTAGGGTTCAGGGTTGCTAGGGGTTAGGGTTGAGGGTTTTTTTAACAGAGAAGCCCGGAGCCAGATCCCCAGTTGGCGGGCGCCCCGTCGCTTTCGGGAAGCTTACGTGTGCGTGCTACACCCCACGAAGTTGAGGGTGTAGGGGTTTAGGCTTCCGGGTTTACCAGTAGGGTTTAGGGCTTAGGGGTTTAGGGTTCCTTATAAAGGTTCCTTTAAGGATTCCTTTAAGGACTTCTTTAAGGTTCCTTTTGGGGTCCCTTTTGGGGTTTAGGATTTCCGCCAAACTCGAAGTCGGAGACCCCAAGCCTGAATGTCGGAAGCTGCAGCCCTGACCCGAGCACGGTCTTCAAGGTTCGGGCTTGCTTGGGTGTTTCATAGGAGGCCAAAAGGGGTTTTTATGGGGGCTAGGGATCCCTAGGGTTCCTTTAAAGGGATCTCTAGGGGTTCCTTTAAAGGGATCTATAAGGGTTTCATAGGAGGCCAAAAGGGGTTTTAGCCTATGGGGGTTTAGTAGGGATTAGGGTTCCCATAATAGGGTTCATATTAAGGAATCCCTACCCCAAGAATCTTAAAACCCCCCTTTTGGCCTCCCATCAGTGTTGCCCAGCCCTCTGCCGCCCGTTGTGGCAGCCAAGAGCTTTTCTGATTCTTCAGCACCCCACGGTTCAAGATTTTGGAACTTAGAGTTGTGGGGTTTTCAGGGGTGTAGGGCTTTAGGGTCTCTAGTGGTGGCCTCGGCACAAAACCCTAAACCCTCAACCCTAAACCTAAACCCTATAAACCCTGATCCCTAAGCCCTGTAAACTCTAAACCCTAAAGCCTATAGACCCTGAACCCCACAAGCCCTAAACCCTATAACCCCTAAACATCCTAAAACCCCGGCTTAGGGATGTTGCGCCCCAGAGCTCGGATCCGGAAGTCCGATACCTGGAGGGTTCTGGGACTTAGCAAGTGGGCGTATACCCAGACCCCCGGGAGGATCCAAAAAGTAGATTCCTTAATGGGGGTTCCTATGAAGTAGCCTTAGTAGTATAGGGCCCCAAATTAGGGGGTCCACTTTCTAGATCCTTTCGGGGGTTAAGTACCTCAAATTCGGGGGATCATGGGACTTAGTAAGTGAGGCTAGAAAGAAGTACCTGAAATTGGGGTTATAAGCATGTAGAATTCGAGTATACTATAGTTTTCCTTCTTTTTACTACTAAGTTTACTACTAAGTCACAAGATAGTTGGGGGTATAAGTATGTATAGCTATAGGTACCTCCTTTACTACGAAGTCCCAAGATCCTTCAAGTAGTGGCATCTGTGCGAGGCACGCTGGCTGGCTTTTCGGGAGGTGTACCTGGACATCTTGGAAAAAGGAGGCGGTTTAGAGCATACTGGGGTCTTGTCAGAGAGTTTAGTTTCAGAGACCATACCAGGGATCGATAGTAAAGGATATGGTTTCTGACCCTAAACCCTAAACCCTAAAACCCTAAACCCTTAAAGTAAGCACCCTAACAAGAATCCAGTTTTTGGGCTCAGGGTCGTCGAAGCTCAAGTGTTTCAGCAATCCGAGAATCCCGAGACTCAGATCCTAAACTGTAGCCCGCATGCATCCCCAAAACCTTAAACCCTAAACCCAGAACTTTAAACCCTAAGCCTTCAACCCAAAACCCAAAACCCTAAACCCTGAACTCTAAGCCCTGGATCCTAAACCCGTGGCTCTATCGTGGCTTTCCGTTTTGTCACCAGGCCTCTGACCGGGCCGGTGAGGGTTTCTTCGAGCTCTTCTTTCTTCGAAAGTTGAAAACGCCAAAACCCTAAGCCCTCAACCCTATAACCCTAGACCCTACACCCTAAACTCTGTAACCCTAAACCCTAAACTCTGTAACCCTAAACCCTAAACTCTGTAACCCTAAACCCTATAACCCTATAACCCTAAACCCTAAACTCTGTAACCCTAAACCCTATAACCCTAAACCCTAAACTCTGTAACCGTAACCCTAAACCCTATAACCCTAAACCCTAAACCCAAAACCCAAGCCCTTCACCTCCAGGACGCCCCCGTGAGGGCTCCCGCCAGCGCCTTGACGCTTTGGAGGAGGCCCTGAACCCTCGGCTTGCAGGGTCGGGGGGACTTAGTAACTATAAGGGGTTCCTTAAGGGCCCCTTTAAAGGGATCTATAGGGGTTCTATATAAGGGTATAGGGTTTAGGGTTTAGAGTGCTTGGAGTGTCGGGGGACTTAGTAGCTGGTTATTTTAGTGACTTATATAAGTATCCTAACCCCAATTAGAGTCCCCTGTAGGGTACTTAAGTAGTAAGTAGGTAGTAAGTTTTATAAAAACCCGCTATGGGGACTTAGTAAGCAGGTAGTAGCCTTATAAGCACCCTCAAGGGACTCTGACTGGGGTTATGGTACTTATGAATCCTTAACATTACCAGTTATTACGTCCCCCGACCCTCCAAGAGCCGCCTGCCCTCACAACTCCAAGCCCCAAACCCCAAGACTCAGGGTCCAGGGATTTAAGGTTTAGGGTTTAGGGGTTTCAAACCCAAAACTCTAATATGGTTCGGGGTTCAGGGTGCATAGGTTTAGGGGTTCATTAGGGGTTTAGGTCCCTAGGTTTCCGGGTAAAGCAGCTCTCGGTCTAAGCCAGAACTTTTTGATTAAACCCAAGCTCCCGCACCCTAGGTCCTAAAAGTATGTGCCCCACCTGCCCCAAATTTGGCCCTAGACCCAATCGAGGGTTTATGTGCAGGCTCTCCGGTCAAACGGCTTGTCCAGTGCTCCGTTGAGGGCTTGGCGGGTTTAGGGTTGAGGATTGAGGGTTTTCGGGTTTTTGGGGTTTAGGGTTTGGGTTTCAGGATTCTAGAGCCGGCGGTCTTTCAGGGCTTGGTTTTCTTAGTTTGAACTTCAAGCCTGCATCTCAAGCATTTCATGCCCTGGTCGTCTTCGCGGTATTGGTTCTGGCCCTAAGCCCTTGCCCTTAACCCTACTCCCTGATCCCTCTGCCTCAAGCCCTTAAACTCTAAATCCTCAACCCTTAACCAACCTAACCCTACTCCCTGATCCCTCATCCTAAATCCCTTAAACCCTAATCCCTTCCACCCTAAACTGCAGCAAACCACTCAGAAGGGGACCGTTTGGTTTTGGAGCAGCCTCTCTGCGATTCGATTCTTTTCACCCAAGACTTTCCGCCGCAGCCGAGACCACAGACGTACGGTTAAACCTTGAAAGCCGTAGTCCCAACTAGACCACAACATGCACCCCTAATTAAGCTCCATTAAAACCCGTGCAAAATCGGTAGTATGAATGAAGCCTTCATAAGACCCTTGTTGCACTACTATTTGAAAGCCCTTCTACATCAAAAACGTCCCCAAACCCTAAACCCTGCCCCCAACCCAAACCACAAACGCCCAAATCCTAAGCCCTCAACCCGAAAAAGAAACCCCAAGCCCTAAATCGTGCACCCAAAACCCTACTTGCAAAAGTGACTCCGAAATCCTAAACCCTAAACCCTAGACACCCTAAACCCTAAACCCTGACCCCTCTAAACCCGACACTAAACTCCCTCGTTGCACCTCTAAACCCGACACTAAACTCCCTCGTTGCACCACCCCTAAACCCTTAAACTCCCCTATGATACCCCTATAGTAACCCTTAAGAGGACCCCTTCAAAAGGAACGCTAAGCCCTAAACCCTAAACTCTTAAACCCTAAACCCTTTAACCCTAAACCCTAAACCATAAGCCCTAAACCCTAAACCCTAAGCCCTAAATGGCCATGGCGTCTCCGGCTCTGCTCCCGGAGCTTCCGGGCAGCGCGCCGCTCGGAGAGAAGCGAAAGCCTCGCGGGGGCCGTCGGGGCTTCTACTTGGAGGGTCGGGGGGCTCCTTTAAAGGGGTCTATAGGGGCTACTATAAGGGATCTATAAGGGTACTATAATGTCAGAGGACTGAGGGTCTTTAGGCGACTTAGTATCTATAAGGGGTTCCTTTAGGGTTCCAAAGGGATCTATAGGGATTCTATAAGGGTATACTTGGAGGGTCGGGGGACTTAGTAAGTAGGTAGTAAGTAGACTTATAAGTACCCTAAAAGGGACCCTAATTGGGGTTATGGTACTTATAAGTCCCTAAAATAACCGGTTACTAAGTCCCCCGACCCTCCAAGTAGGGTCTACTTGGAGGGTCTTTAGGGGACGTAGTAAGGGCTCCTTTAAAGGGGATTCTAAGGGTTCCTTTAAAGGGCTCTATAGGGGTAATGTAGGGTGTAGGGTCCGGGGACTTAGTAAGTAGGTAGTAAGTAGACTTATAGGTACCCTACAAGGGACCCTAATTGGGGTTACGGTACTTATAAGTCCCTAAAGTAACTAGTTACTAAGTCCCCCGACATTCCAAGCAAGGGTGTACAGTTGGTCCCTTCAAGGGGTCCTTTTATGGGATCCTTTTAAGGGCTGCAGGGTTGCTATCGGGGTATCATAGGGGTTTTTGAGGATTCAGGGTTTGGGGTTGAGGGTTTGGGGATGCAGGGTTTGGGGGTTTAGGGGTTTAGGGGCTTTAGGGTTTTTGGGGTTCAGGGTTTGGGGTTCAGGGGTTTGGAGTTTGGGGTTTAGGTGTTACGGGTTAAAGGTTTGGGGTTTAGGGTTTAGGGTTTAAGTTTCGGGGTTTGGGGTTTAGGTGTTTTAAAGGTTCAGGGTGCGGGGTTTGGGGGTTTAAAGGGTCTAGGGTTCAGAGTTTGGGGTTAGGGGTTTTGGGGTTTAGGGTTTGGGGATTTGGGGGTTTGTGGGTTTAGGGCTTTAGGGCTCAGGGTTTTGAGGGTTTAAGCGGCTTAAGGCTTTAGGATTTACGATCTAGCGTTTTGGGCTTGCAGGGTTCAGAGTTGAGGGCATCAGGGTGAAGGTGAACGGTTTTCTGCTTTGATGGGGTTTTCGGATTTGCCTGTGGGATTCCGAGGTTTGGGGTTTGAGCTTTCACTGCACTGTGACGTTATTGCGGCAACATTCTAGCAACTAATGGCTCCGTCTGGCCTGCTTTGGGGATCTGTCTATCTGTCTGTCTGTCTCTGTTTGTCTCTGTCTGTCCAACCGTCCTTCCGTCCGTCAGTTTGTCTGTGTCTTTCATAAAATGATCAAAGCCATACACCCCAGACCCTGAATCCAACGCCGATTCCCGCTACACCCCAAAGCCCAAGACTAGACCTAAACCCCTAGAGACCTCAAGCCCTAAAGACCTACCTGGAGGTTCATGGCTAGTTATTATATGTGGGTTATAAGTCGGCAAATATGGGCTATCTTTGTAGTTGCCGTACTTATTTCCCCACTTATGACTGCCCATAAACCTCCAAGTAAACCCTAAATCCTAAATGAGTGGTTGTCAAAATTTTGGGCCCCATTTTGGGTACCCTAAGTATTAGGTAAGGACCCCAAAAGGGACCCTAATTTTGACAACCACCTAAATCTCTATAGAACCCTTAAAGGAACCTGTAAAGGAACCCAAGTAAACCTATATCCCCACTTTTAACCAACCATGGGCCTCCGAGTTTTATTATTGATGATATAAACTCTGGAATACCTTAGGGGATGCTAAACTATGGTTTAGGGTTTAGGGTTTAGGGAAAAACGGGATATTCCTTAGTGTGAGTAATGCTGGATTTATATAATCAACCGTACCGATCAGGCTCTGCCGCATCCTCTCCTTTGCCTCTGCAGCCACTGCGGATGCATGGAGACAGGATTCTCATCTTCAGATGTAGGATTTTTTTGCATTTTAGGGTTTTGGAGTTTTGGATTTGTGGGTGAGTTTGGGGATTTTAGGGTTTTCAGGGTTTGGGGGTCCAGAGTTTGGAGAGTTTTGGGCTGCTGAAAGGGCTTCTAGTGGCCTTGATTTTCTGAGCTCGAGTGTTTGCTGCGGGTAGTAAAGCCCAATAACCCTGAACCCTAAACCAAATACTCAATAAGCCAGGTCGAGTGGGGCCGCGTGGCCCAGGCCCATCAGAGCTTGATCCTGGACCTCGACTGCTTTTCGGCTTAGTTTAGCTTGTTTGGTGTCAGAGTTAAGGGTGTAGGCGCAAGTGTTTAGGCTGTAGGGTTTAAGTTTAGGGTGCAGGGTTTAGGGTTTGGCGTGAGGGTTTAAGGTTGAAAGGGTGGTGTGGGTTTTTGTCCAGGGTTTCGAACAACGTCGTGGGTTTTGGTGTCTGAAGAAGTGGCAGGTCACCAAATGCCAAGATGGTGTCCTGACGTAGATTGAAACTCCTAAACCTAGACTCTACACCCCACAACACTCCAAAACTATCGAAATCTTGAATCGTAAAGCCCAGCCCCTAAACCCTAAACCCTCGAGCCTTAAAGGAACCCGACACCCTAGACCTATACAGGAGCCCTTAGCAGGAACCCCAGCTTTTCCAGGAGTTCTGAAAGGGAACCCTTAAAAGGAGCCCCTTGAAGGGATCTCTTAAAGGGAGCCCCTTAAAGGGACGCCGTTTCAAGGGATCTCTTAAAGGGAAGCCTCTTCAGGGCCCCCTTAAGGGATCCCTAAAGGGGACCTTAAATTAAAAATCCTATAGTGCACTAAGGGTACCCTTAAGAGAGCCCTTTTAAGAGACCCCCTACACCCCGCAGATAAGTATATACTATATGGGTGGTTGTCCAAATTAGGGTCCGTTTTTGGGTCCTTCACATAATACGGCACCTAATATTTGTGGCCAAAAAGGGACCCTAATTTTGACAACCACCCATATGGGTACATGGACCCTTATACCCTAAACCTTATAGAACCCTTCGAGGCACCTGTAAAGGGACCCCCTACAACCTCTAGAAATTCCAGGCCTTCTCGAGGAGAGCTCGGCACGGCTCCGTGCCGAGGCACAGAGCCTTGGGGAGGCGGCACGCGACGCCGGCGCTGTTTTTTTCTTTTGGGGGGGGGGATCCTTGAAAGCGCTTATAGGAGTTTAGGGTTTAGGGTTTAGTAGTTTAAGTTTTTTTGGGTTTCGGGTGTTAGGATTTAAGGAGCGTAGGACTTTATAAGTTTTCAGGAAGTTGCTTTGTCCTTTACGAGTTCCAGGGTTTAGTTTATGTTTCGGGAGAGGATTTATTGGGTTTGGGTTTG